GAAGCCAATTGAAAGTGAGGGTACTACTTTCTGCTCTCGCTTTCACAGGCGCCACCATTTCATCCCCGTTTCCATGTTGCCCCTGATAAGACGGCCACGGGAAACGCTTGTCACAGGCAGAACGAGGGATGACGATGAAGTACATCTTTCCTAAATTTATGCTAAACCCCTCAGCTTCAAATGTAGCCTGCAAGGTTTGATTTATATACTGCAGTTAGGGGGTTTTAGAGCGGTTTTTTTAATCGTTTTTTTTCCGATTTTCAACTCAGAAACGTGATATCTTAAAGCGGGGGCGGGGGGATTTGGACCAGAGGTGGGATTCAGCCGGTTCTCTCCAGTTCGGGTAAACTGGTAGTGGCGGCTGCGGGAAGCTCCGCCCACCTGCCCCGATGTAACACATGCACTCAATATTTAAATCCCACCTCTGGGTTGCATCCTTTCGAAAGATGACCTTTGTATATGTGAAGAATCAAATAACTTTTTTTTTTGTTTCAGGAGGAGTTATATATATATATATATATATATATTGTATAAAAAGTAGTGTCTAGTTCTCACAATGGCAAACAAAAGCGAACATAAAAAAGCAAGACAGAAGTGATGATGTCAGTGAAGAACTTCTTATAAGCAAGTGACCTTTCATTCCCTTCCCTGCCTTGTCATCCTACTGCACCTCATCATCCCTCACTGAATCTTCTCCCCTAGCCCCTGGGTGAACTTTTGACAAAAGTGAAAAGGACACAAAATGACAACACACTGAATTTGCAAGAAGGGATCCTGAATTGGTGTTAGGGGAAAGTGCATGTAGCACGGCTTGTGCCCTTAAGTATCTGAGGTTACCAGATCACCAGGGCAACCTACCAAACCCCCCGTTTAGCTAGGAACAAAATCCCCACATTGCGAAAATTAAGTCTTGAAGCCTGCCTAACCCTGCTCCCTTCACAGAGAACCCAAGAGTCCAACGCTTACTTCAGCTGGGGCTGGGGTGGAGGAGGCAGATCCTGACTGGGTTTCTGGGCAACTTGTGGCTTTCCTTGGCTTGGTGGAGGGCGGTTCCCTTGTTGCCCTGGGCCACCAGGACCCTGCCCCTGAGTACTGGGCCTCGGCTGCTGGGTAGTAGGTGGTGCTGGGCGCTGCTGCTGTGCTCCTGCTCCCGGTGGGCGCTGCTGGGTCAGGCCCCCTTGACTACCCTGCCGTGGATGCTGCCGTGGTTGACCGCCAGCCACTGGAGGGCGCTGGGCCTGCTGGGCCTGCTGCTGTTGCCCTGAGAGGCCCCCAGATGCTGTCTTGGTCAGGCCAGCCCCCGCGGGCCGCTGCTGCTGGGGGGAACCTTGCTGCCACTGCTGCTGTCCTCCGCCACTGGGGCTCGGCCCTCTCTGAGGCTGGGGGGACTGTGGAGCAGAGGGCGGCCCCTGCTGGCGAGACTGTTGGACTCCAGGCCCAGGCTGGCGCTGCCCTGCAGGACGTTGCTGAGCCTGTGGTGGGGGCTGCTGGGTGGTGGGGCTGGGCAGACGCTGGCCCATTGCGGGACCACTGGGTTGTGGGGTAAGGCCTGGGAGTTGCTGGCCTTGGGGAGGGGGGCGTTGCTGAGACGGAGGGCGCTGGGAGCCTGGAGGCGGCTGCTGAGGTCCTCCTGAAAGACAGAGGGAAGACTGTTTTAGCCTTACTTGATATGCTAAAATTCCCTTTCAACAAAAAGTTCTGATGCCTCCCACCTGAAGCACAATTTCCCCCAAAGCATAATTTACCTTGGGGTGGAGGTCTCTGTTGGGCTGGAGGGCCTTGTCTCTGTCCAGCTTGAGCTGACTGAGCCTATGAACGAAAATAAACAAAAGCAGGCCCATGCATCAAAATTATCCTTCTTTCCTTTTATCCCATCCTGCCCGGCTATAATTTTCCTCTTTCTGCGATATTCTACCTTCTTTGCAGCATTGGCCATGCAATACAAGAATATCTCTAAATCTTTCCCTAGTCAGCTGCCCATTCAGACATTCAATCTCCCCCACAAAAAAAATGAACAGATGACACATGGAGGAATCTTTCTCCACTGAAGCCATCAAATACTGGGAACCATGTAAAATCTTCACAATACATGAGGAATGGATTGACAAACAGTTATCCTTGCCCTTCCTTTTTTTCCCAGATGCTTGGCAATACATGGGGGTGAGGAGTGTCTCTAAACCGCTGAAACTTGTTTTGACAGATGTGATGATAGCAATTTAGCTAAGGAAAAGCTTCAAAGCACAAGAGAAGCATTCTTCTTCATAACACAAACTGTTATGGCAGCCACCAACTTCAATGGCTTTTAAGGAACATTAGACAAAGAATAGCCATTTTACTTGAGAGGGTTATATACTTCTAGAATTAGAGGCAGAATGCCTCCGAATGCCTATTGCTAAGAACCATGAATGGGAGGACCTGGTGGCACTTGTGAATTTCACAGTGGCCTCTAGCTGGCAATTACTGTGGGAAACAGAACGCTGGAGTGCATCCAGGAGAGTTGCTCTTAAGATCTTGAGATTGGACGAATTCGAAGTTAGACCCATCTACTGGTGTTTATTATCCATGGCATTTAAATGAAATCTCTACAGCACTAGAGGAGAACACCAGGTGCTTGAGATCAAATAGTTAGAAAGAAATGTTGGCTTTGGCTTCATTGTACAGGTTTTCCTAAGCCGTCTAATTGTCCATTATCAAAAACCAAAGAGTTTTTTGTTATCAAAAGAATCAAAATCAAAGAGTCCCTCATGCTGTAATCTTCTGCATCTTTTTGACTCAACAACTTTAATTAGAAATTTCAGATAATAACCCTGGTCCTAATGCAGGCAACCTGTGCCTGGTTCCCCATTACTCTTGCCATAATCTGTAAACTTCACTATGACACTTTGCTGCTCTGAGCCAGCATTTCCTCCTCCTTCTGACTCCTTTCCTTCAACTTCTAGTAAGCAGTGACTAAACATAAACTGCAGGGGAAAAACAAAGAACAGGGAATGACTACTGTTGTGTTTATGATGAGAAACAAAGTCCTAATACCTGGGCATGCTGTCCTGAGGCAGAGCGCACAGGGGAGGGCACGGGGGTGCGAGGAAGGACCTGGGCCATGCGTGACAGTACCAGCTCCACAATCAGCTGCTTATCTTCCTCTTGGTGGTCTCCAATCAGAGGCATGGATGATCCCACTACCTGAGGAAAGAACAAGAACAAACAGGAAGTGAGCTGTTTCCCTTAAGTAGAACATGTGTGAATTAGTCCAAGACCTTCTGCAGGAAATGACGTTATTGTTGTTTTTTTAAATGCCTACTTTAAACACTTGATGGCACTAGCAAATTAACGGCAGAAGTTTCAACTTGGGATGAAAACAAATAGATAATAAGAAATATGGATAACATCCAGAGAATATCTTTCCTCCAACAGCCCCTCTCCCTCTAGAAGTTAATCATCTGCAGAATGGAGATAATAACAGATAACCACCATTACAGGGTATTTGTTGGAAGGATTACGTGTGTGTATAAACACTGTGTGTATAAACACTAAGCGATAATGTTAACAAAACCACATGGTGCAATGGGTGGTGACTCAAAGAATACAGTCTGATCCATGTAGCCAGGAAGTAACTGGAACTAAGCCAGCTTGTTCCACTGCCTGTAACATGGAAAACCATCATCAATAGACAAAATATACATTCACTCAAAACATAGGAAAATGCAGAAGAAGCAGAGTGATATATATCTTTATGTCTCAAAGGACCCTAATATTAATCTCACCAGTTGTTTTATCATGGTCGAGCTTTCCAAAACACATTGAACTATATATTCTGAATATTAATTAAAAAAAACATTTATTTTTAATGTGGGTCAAGGTTCTTCCAAACCATTCCCCACATCTTTTCAGTAAATATCCGTAAGGTTTTCTACAACAATAGGAATGATAGAGATTCCCTGACAGACTAAATTAATGCTGTACTGTTTGAGGCAAGGGAACAGATGCCATCTAGTGAGCATCGCAGCTGAAAATGGATTTCAACTCAAATCTCTTTGGCCTGAGAGAGTACAATACTGTCCGGGAACCCTAAAAACACACGCATGTTGAAGTTTCATTATTTCCAGAACCAACCTGTTAAAAAGAGCCGATTTGCTTTAAAATCCCCAATTTAAAAAGAAACTTTTAACCTGTCTCTTTACCTTATAAATTCTAATCTTCCCTTCTTTTAGTAACTTTTTAAGAAGGTTTGTGTTCCCTGGTATATTTGTTAAAATATAAGCATTCCCAGCAACTCACCTCAATAATGTGGTCACGCCCATCCTTGCCATGTAGAGCTTCTACTGCACAGATGTCCAAACCACCAAAAATTTCTGAACAAGTGTCCACCCATAGCTTGTACCTACCGCAGAATGGAAAAAAATCAAGACCAGAGACAAAATTATAAATGTAACGCAAGTACAGAGCCCTCCTAATTTTATCACTTTCACTCAGATACATTTAGCCAGGAGAAGAGCTTGGGAAGCCATAGAGAGGAAGAGTCCTCCTATTCTAAGCATTTATTTATAATCCCTTCTATCTACCCAATCATATTTCCCCATCCATGCCACTCACCTATCTGACATAGCTATTTGCTCCAACATGGCAGAGCCAGTATTGGTTTTCCAGTTGCCTGAAACAGAGGTCCTCCTGCCAGGGGAAAGAGGACATTGTGGGTATTAAAAGATCCAGGGAGAAACCAGAGAGCAAACATTTCCTTGAAAAGGGAGGTCAATAAAATCAGGAAAGAGACTGATAGAGATTGAGAAGGGGGAATTCAAATGGGGCTTGTCCGATAAAGGGTATATTAAATATTTGTGTTTTGAGAAACTGAGTCCTCAAAGCAGGTACAATCTAAACCAGGGGTAGTCAACCTTTTTATACCTACCGCCCGTTTTTGTATCTCTGTTAGTAGTTAAATTTTCTAACCGCCCACCGGTTCCACAAGCCTTGTTGTTTTAAAAGTTGGGGAATTACTTTACTTTATAAAATTTATAAAGCAGAG